ATAATAAATAATTATTTTAGTGTAGCTTTAAATTAACTTTAGTTTTACTTTTATTCAATCTTGTCAGCAAGTGAGAGTGAACGTGTGTTATTGCATAACATAAAATAACACCTTTAGTAAACATGTGGTTTATGCTGTTAAGCAAAATGCGCTCAGAGAAACCAAAATAAAAAATATTTGAATAACCTACCGTGTTACATATTCCCAGTATATCTGCACCTAGTTATCTTTGGTGACAGAAACTGACTAAAGTGGTAGTACACAAGTCACTAAGATAAGCATATCCTATATAAAAAGTTTCATTTGTAAACACATGCTTGTGGTCTGTATGCAGCAGCTTAGAAAAGGAATAAGACATCTTCTGACTTCAAAGCTATATGGAGTGTGAAGTTCAGCAAATTACAGCACTTTAGCGTAAAAAGAACTGTTGCATTCTCAAGAAATTATGAACTTACTGCAGAAATTCCGCCAAACAGATAAATGCACACTCCACAAACATATAATACACAGTGTGTGTCTTTTAAAAAAAATAATTATATTATCTTCATGATTCTCATAACCCTGCACACTATGCAGTGGTATAAACAGGTGTGTGAGTTCCCCCTCACTTCCTAAATAGCAGCATATGCAAATTTGATTTAACACTCTGGCTATATTCCTAAGGAATCATGGCCTACATTCATGGGATATTATGTAGGGCACTTCTCAGACCCCTTCTCTGGGTGGTCAGTCGCGCGCAGCCTGCGTACTGCGCACACACCGCGTGACTCGCGCACCCGCACCTCGGGCACCAGGTGTTCTACCAAGCTTAAGGGGAACCCGTGCCCTGCGCCATGCCTGCGGTCCCCAAGTAGGGGTAACACCCCCTGCTTCCTGACATCAGACATAGCAGCAATGTTCAGGGATGGGTGGTGTTAACACAGTAACTAAACATATGATTTGCTCGGCAATAACGTGCGATATTATATTTTTTTTTGCCAATTTATATTTATGGCAAAACATTAGCCCTGGAATTCCTCTTTCATTTCTTAAGACAGTTATTTGTAATAATCAATAAACTGCTACAAATGGCTGGTGTATGCAGAATATTAATTAAAAAACAGAATATTAAAGCTGATTTGGTTATTTACAGTGGCATCCTTTGACATTACAGCGTTATGCTCAAGAAGAAGTAGGAAACATGTAAAAATAAATCTCTTAATTTGAATCTAATGTCCCTTTACATTGGGGTTAAAGCTATATAAGTGTGGCAGGCTAACAACATCCCACATTAAATTATGAAAATTATGTGGAAGCGGCTGATGGGCACATTAATATAGCTATACATATTTCATGCAGTGTTTTGCATTAATGAATGCAATAACCTTATACTCATGAATGCAAAATGGTAAGAGCATTGCCATACCTCAGTTTGTTGCAGCTGACCCAGAAAACTTCATATACTGTTTACAAGATGAGGTGAAAAAGGGTGGGCGCTAATGGCTTGGAGGAAGAAACCTATAAGGGTGTAACGTCTACTTTGCCACTTTTGTTTACTGAGTACAGTTATACAGTATAGCAGGGGTGCCCACAATTTTTGTGTTAAGATCTTCTTTTCAAATGACGAGCTACATGAGCTCTACCAACGAAAAAAAAAACTCGCTCTTTCTCTCCTGGCTGTCATTCCTCTCTCTCTCTCTCTCTCTCTCTCTCTCCTGGCTTTGTCTCCTGGCTGTATTTTGCAACAGGCTGTGTAAACTAATATTCTTTGATGTAATACATAGCACTTCAACCACCAGAATCCACCAGAAAGGTGTCAGGGAGCTTGGCTCAGCAGACTCAGGCTAATATTAATCTCGTGCGCACAGCTAAATAAATATACCAAAATAGAATAAAGGGGCCACCATTCACACCCTTCGTGATCTACCAGCATCAGCTTTGAGAGCTACTGGTAGATCACGATCTACCTAATGGGCACCCCTGCAGTATAGACAGGCCCAGATTCCCCACAAGGCCACCGAGGCCCGGCCTTGAGGTGACAGGGCACAGAGGGGCGGCAGCGGTGTCCTTGTGGGGAAGTTTCGGGCGTCTGGCGGTAAGTTACCCTCTCTACATTTAGTCCTGCTTTGCACAAGCAGGACTAAATGTAGAGTGAGGGAAGCCGATTGTTCGTTTACGTAAAAAGTCTGCAGCCTCCCCCTCCCGCACTTACCTCTGTCCTCTGGTTCCTTCCTCCGGGCTCCGCCGCCGAGTCTCTCCTCTCTGCAGTGAGCAGAGCGGCAGGGTTAAAACTAACCCTGCCGCTCTGTGTACACAGTGAGAGGGGAGAGCTGTGCTCTTCCTCTCTCACCTGTCACAGGAGTTCCAGCACAGTGCTGTGCTAGATCTCCTGTATTGGAGGTGACAGGGTCAATAAAGAGAACATGTCACCTCCAATTGCTATCACACAGGGATTGTTTTCTCCTGTGTGATAGCAATAAAGTTAGGTGAAAACAAAAATTAAATTGATTAAAAGAAAAGAATTAAATACATACAAATTAAAAAATAATATGAAATAAATAAAAAAATTAAAAAGGTGATTAAAAAGTAAAAAAATAATAAGAAACAATTAAAAAATAAGAAAATAATTATTTAAAAAAATAATAAGATATAAAAATTACAAG